CATTTGCACTGGTTAATATTAGAAAACAGGGCTGTCCAACTTTGGTGTAGATAGGGGCTACAAATGGCACCGACACGTGGAGCCTGGGCTGTACACTACGCAGGCCTCACATCTGGGGGCAGCCCCTGACCCTGCCACAGCATGCTGCAGCCCCTCTGTGGCCTGCCTCACAATGTGGCAGTGGGAGAAGGAGCTTTTGAGGCCTGCAGTTCAGTGCTGGTGGTGGCTCATGGGCGGCCAGTTGGATAGCCCTATAACAGAACGTCCACAGATAAGTAGGGCAGCCTTGGAGGATTAAAGAACAGTGGAAAAAACCCTAAATAAAAGTAATTTCTTGATAATTAACATTTCTAACAGTGATAAAGTTCTAATTTTTTTAAATGCATAACTACAGAATACAAACTACCAGGAAAGTACTATTTCTAAACAAATATGCTTGCTAGTGAAGTGTTTATAGTATTGATAAATATAAAACTTCACTCTGTGCTAGAGATGCAATTAGTTGTTTGGTGATAACACACTAGTATCTAACTACCAATTAGGACTACAGTGTTACAAGATACTTGACTTCAAAACCAACTCAAGTCACACATGGAACATTTTGCAGGATGTGCTGTAGCCATTATCAGAATGTGAACTGTTTGTCATTAAACTGGGTAACTCTGTAACACAGTCTCTCACCCCATCCTCATTAAAAAATTAGGTGTCTGTGGTGTCAATGCCTACACAGTCAGATGGGTCGCAAATTGGCTGGAGGGCTGCACCCAGAGAGTGGTGTTGGACAGGTCATTTTTGACCTGGAGAGATGTGAGCAGCGGGATTCCGCAGGGCTCGGTCCTCAGGCCCGCACTGTTCAATATCTTCATCAGCAATTTGGATGAGGGGGTGAAAAGCACCTTGTTCAAGTTCGCAGATGACACTAAGATATAGGGAGAAATGAGCACGCTAGAAGAGAGGGACAGGCTACAACTAGATCTCAACAGGTTACAGAGGTGGGCAGATGAGAATAGGATGGGTTTCAATACGGACAAGCGCAAGGTGCTGCAGCAGCTGGGGAGGAAAATCCAGCAGCATACCTATAGGTTGGGGAACTCCCTTCTCATCAGCACAGAGGCAGAGAAGGATTTTAGAATCACTATTGATTCCAAGATGAACATGGGCCACCAATGTGGGAACGCAGTCAGGAAGGCTAACCGCACCTTGACATGCATCCACAGCTGCATCACAAGCAGGGCCAAGGAGATGATTTTCCCCCTCTATGCAACACTGGTCAGGCTGCAGTTGGAGTACTGTGTCCAGTTCTGGACGTCGCACTTCAGAAGGGAAGTGGCCAGCATTGAAAGGGTCCAGAGGAGGGCCACTCGCATGATCAGGGGGCAGCAGGGCAGCCCCTATAAAGAGAGGCTACAGGACCTGAACCTGTTCAGCCTCCACAAGAGAAGGCTGAAGGGGGATCTGGTGGCCACCTATAAACTTGCCAAGGGGGACCAGCAGGCAATGGGAGAGTCCCTGTTCCCCTGAGCACTACCGGGGGTAACAAGGAACAACAGCCATAAGTTGACTGAGAGTAGATTCAAGCTAGATATGAGGAGGCACTACTTCACTGTCAGGGCGGCTAGGATCTGGACCCAACTTCCAAGGGAAGTGGTGCTTGCCCCTACCCTGGGAGTCTTTGAAAGGAGGCTAGACAGCCACCTAGCTAGGGTCATTTGATCCCAGCATGCTTTCCTGGCCATGGCAGGGGGTCGGACTAGATGATCTGCTTAGGTCCCTTCTGACCCTACCAACTATGAAACTATGTAACAGTAGTGCATTGCAGGTATGGACAGACATACCTTTGGAGCTCTTTCGAAAGGGAAATGTTTCAAAAGGATAGCACCTGTTACATTTTAATTGCTATGGGTAAATAAACTGGAAATTATAAAAATGTAGCTAAGCTTTAACACTAGGCTGCATACAGATGTAACCCCTGCCAAAAACAGCGCTCTACTTTAAACTCAGTGCAACCCCGTGCTAGCCCAGGGCATGCCCAGAAAGAGGCATTGAGTTAGTTTGAGACAGCTCTCCCAACATCTGTATAGATCAAGTGGTTCAGCA